GTTTCACTTCAGTTTAATTAGCCAGGGGGCAAATGAGTTCCCTGGAAGGAAGGAGTTTTTCATTTGCCGAGCACCAATTGTCCTCTGTCGTCACACCTGCTAATGAGGTGGAGGAAATGATGTAGAGGTGTACTGTAGAGGAGATGGTGTGGAGGAGGTGTACTGTAGAGGAGGAGGTGGTGTGGAGGAGGTGTACTGTAGAGGAGGTGGTGTGGAGGAGGTGTACTGTAGAGGAGTGTACTGTGGAGGAGGTGGTGGGGAGGAGGTGTACTGTAGAGGAGGTGGTGGAGGAGGTGTACTGTAGAGGAGGTGTACTGCAGAGGAGGTGGTGGAGGAGGTGTACTGTAGAGGAGGTGTACTGTAGAGAAGGTGGTGTGGGGAGGTGTACTGTAGAGGAAATGATGTAGAGGTGTACTGTAGAGGAGATGGGTGGGGAGGTGTGTATGTAGAGGAGGAGGTGGTGGGAGGAGGTACTGTAGGAGGAGGTGGTGTGGGAGGTGTACTGTAGAGGAGGTGTACTGTAGAGGAGGTGGTGGGAGGAAGTGTACTGTAGAGGAGGTGGTGGGAGGTGTACTGTGAGGAGGGGTGGGTGGAGGAGGTATACAGAGGAGGTGGTGTGGAGGAGGTGTACTGTAGAGGAGGTGTACTGCAGAGGAGGTGGTGTGGGAGGAGGTGTGCTGTAGGAGGAGGTGTACTGGAGGGAGGTGGTGTGGAGGAGGTGTACTGTAGAGGAGGTGGTGGGAGGTGTACTGTAGAGGAGGTGGTGTGGAGGGAGGTGTCAGAGGAGGTGGTGTGAGGAGGTACTGTAGGAGGAGGTGTACTGCAGAGGAGGTGGTGTGGAGGAGGTACTGTAGAGGAGGTACAGAGGGGTGTGGGGAGGTACTGTAGAGGAGGTGGTGTGGAGGTACTAGAGGAGGTGGTGTGGATAAGGTGTACTGTAGAGGAGGTGGTGTGGGAGAAGGTGTACTGTAAAGGAGGTGGTGTGTGGAGGAGGTGTACTGTAGAGGAGGTGTACTGTAGAGGAGGTGGTGTGGGGGAGGTGTACTGTAGAGGAGGTGGTGTGGAGGAGGTGTACCGTAGAGGTGGTGGTGTGGAGGAGGTGTACTGTAGAGGAGGTGGTGTGGAGGAGGTGTACTGTAGAGGAGGTGTACTGCAGAGGAGGTGGTGTGGAGGAGGTGTACTGTAGAGGAGATGGTGTGGAGGTGTACTGTAGAGGAGATGGTGTGGAGGTGTACTGAGTTCTGTTATTCACCTGAACCACATTACCCCCATGGCATTAATACTAAACACAGGTGTATATGACAAGCTAATTACGTGTCAGGTAAGTTGTGGTGGAAAAATGTAATTTATCTCAGCTGGTCTTGTGGGAGAGGGTGTGGATAGCCCGTGTACTGTCTGGTTCACGGGTTATGGTTTTTAGTACAGGAATTACTGGATCAGGAGGAACGGTACTTACAAATGACCTGTGTGTGTGTGTGTGTGTGTATGCGGGTAACTGCATGAACGCTTCTTTGTGTGTGTGTGTGTGTGTACGTACGAGCGTCAATGTGTGTGTGTGTGTACGTGTGCACATTTTTAAGCTTGAATGGTTTTTCCATCAGACTGGACGAGCAGCTGCACCTTAGCATATCCTCTCTCTCTCTCTCTCTCGTTATTCTTAGTTACATTTATCACCCCTGCTTCACGTTTCTATATACATTCTATATTAGTTTTATACTTGAACTGTCTATATACATTGTTTATATATCTCCACTGTCTAGGTACATTGTTTGTATGTCTGTAATGGCATTGTACAATACTCGTATATCTACACAGTGTATAGTGTTTGTATACCTTCACTGTTAATGGATATTGTTTATATACTTAGAATGTATGACAAAATCGACCAGGCCTATTGGTCCATACTAGGTGTCCCCGTTTACATCATTAGGACCAAGTTAGGCTAGGTTGGGATTAGGTGTGGTTTGGCTAGGTTAGGTTATGCTAGGTTAGGATTAGATTAGGCTTGGTTTGGTTTGGCTAGGTTAAGTTATGCTAGGTTAGGATTAGATTAAGCTTGGTTTGGTTTAGCTAGGTTAAGTTATGCTAGGTTAGGATTAGATTAGGCTTGGTTTGGTTTGGCTAGGTTAGGTTATGCTAGGTTAGGATTAGATTAGGTTTAGTTTGGTTTGGTTTGGCTTGGCTAGATTAAGTTAGGTTAGTTTTAACTTACCCCCACTATTATAATGTTCTTAGATCTTCCTTTTTCACACCTCAGTGACCCTGAGTTTTTACTGTTCCTTAATCAGTATCAATGTTCCCACAATAATGATGCTAGTGTCATCCCTTAGATGTGCTAGATCGTGTGTGTTACACCCCCTTTACCCATGGTGTCGACACAATACTCCCTCATATCGATCTTGATGTCTTTCTACACAACTCACCGGGTTACACCAACCCCAACTGTAACTATTACTTTACTGACTCTCCCGAGTTTAGTTCTAGTCTCCTACTACCTCATTCCTTCTCCTTGATTAGCCATAACATCAGCAGTATTCCCCTTCATCTAGATACCTTTTTAGATCAGTGTTTATCTTCTATTGCCCACAAATTTGATGTACTTGGATTCTGTGAGACCAAACTCACTAACAATATTGACCATATGCATAACATACCTAATTATAAGACACTGCATCAACACGTCGCCACACAGTGGTGGTGTCGCCCTATTTGTTGATATCAAGTATAACACTTCTGTAAGAGATGATTTAAAGGTTCAGCAGGAGTACATGGAGAGTGTTTTCATTGAATTACGTAACGACACACGAAATATCCTAGTAGGAATAATCTACAGATGACCCCACACTAATGTAAGGAATTTTCTTGATAAATTTTCGGAGCTTATCTCTATCATAAGTGCAGAGAGGAAAGACTGCTACATCACAGGAGATTTCAACCTTGATCTATTAAAATCAGAAACCGACACCTCAGTATTAGACCTTGCTACCTGTCATTCTAAATTCTTCTTCAACACTATAACCAAACCCACTAGAGTAACTGCCACCTCTGCCACTGTGATAGATCATATCTGGACTAACAACACTCCTAACAACCTAGCAAGTGGAATTATTTATAACAATATCTCGGATCACTTCCCAGTTTTTGACATGTATAAAACAGCCACAAGACCTGAAAGGTCTAGTAGAGTCTCAATTCGATACAGAGACTACTGCGCCGACAACATGCTCCTTTTTGAAAACAACCTAATGAAAGCTAACTGGGATTCTATAATAGGTGCACCAGAACCGAACCGCATAATCGAGGTGCGGCCTGACTAGCTCAAGATATAGTTGCAATAAGACCTCTGCACTCTTGTTACTTACACTTCTTGATATAAAACCCAATACTCTGTTTGCCTTATTTCGAACATTAACGCACTGTTTTCTAGGCCGTAGGTCCGGGCTTACAAGTACCCCTAGGTCTCTTTCACAAGTCGACTTCTCTAGGTCTATGTTGTTAAGGATGTATACATTATCAGTATTTGTACTTCCTTTATTAAGTACGCTGCACTTGCTGGTGTTGAATTTCATTTGCGATTTTTCAGACCACCCCTGCAGTTTATTTAGATCCTCCTGTAATGCATTTGCATCCTGCCCTGAATTAATCTGCCGCCCTATTTTGGTGTCATCCGCAAACTTGCTTATGTCACTGCTGATCCCAGTATCTAGATCGTTTATGTAGATTATGAACAAGAGTGGGCCTAGTACTGACCCCTGGAGAACCCCACTGGTTAAACGGCCCCACTCAGATTTAACAACAACTACGCTGACCCTCTGCGTTCTATCGGTGAGCCATGATTTGATCCAATTTAAAACTTCCCCTCGATACCATGAGCCTTAATTTTTCTCAGAAGCCTCTGATGCGGTACTCTGTCAAATGCTTTGCTAAAGTCTAAGTAAATAACATCGTAATTTTCGTCATTATCTACTACCTCGAAGACTTTCCTAAAAAACGTCAGCAGATTTGTTAGACAAGATTTTCCCTTTGTAAACCCATGTTGAGAGTCGTAGATTAATTTGCTTCTATGTGGTACTCTGATAAAAAAATTTTGCTCACCAGATTCATCCAAGTTTCGGTGATTGCTATGACGTCTACATTCTCGGTACATACAACCGCTCTCAGCAAGTCTATTTTATTTCTAACGCTCCTACTGTTTGTATAGTATACATTTAAACCTACCCTTCCCTGGTCCTGTTTTACCCCTTGTCCTGAGCAACTAATTTTACTTCCCAGGACCTGCTTGTTTTTTGACTCCCACTAGAGTCGGTGCAGCGAAGAATGACGAAAATGATTCCGGGACTTAGAAACCTTCCATATCAGGAGAGGTTAAAGAAACTAAACTTGCATTCCCTAGAAAGACGAAGAGTGCGGGGAGATATGATAGAAGTATTCAAGTGGGTGAAAGGAATCAATAAAGGTGATATAGATAAAGTTCTTATAATATCCGAGCAGGATAGGACTCGGAGCAACGGATTTCAGTTGTTTAGGTTTAGGAGGGAGATAGGAAGGAACTGGTTCACAAATAGGGTGGTGGACGAGTGGAACAAGCTTAGCAACTTTGTAGTAAGTGCTGGAACGCTGGAAAGTTTCAAAGGGAGGCTGGATAGATTCACGGATGATAGAGAGTGGTAGTAACTCTCGACAGGAGCTGCCATGCACAGGCCAACCGGCCTATTGCAGACTCCTTATTTTCTTATGTTCTTATGTTAATATTGTTCTTATTTTCCACTCTGTATCTGTATTTTTCTGGCTAAATATAATGTTTCAATTCAACACATCATTAGAATTTACTGCTTATTGATCTGTCAACACTAACACAGGGAATTGGCATTTTATTTTATGGCATCACGCAAGTGTTGACTCGAACAGATGTGCGAATAGAGTGCAGGTGTGTGGTGACGCAGGTGTGTGTGTGTGTGTGTGTGTGTGTTGAGATTTGCTGTCCATTGGCGGTGGTGGAATCATAAAGTAAACAACCCTGTCCCCGTCTCCCGTCAGTACAGTCTCTACGACCATCACCTTACCTCACCTCACTTCATCTTACTTCACCTCACCACACCACACATCACCTCACCTCACCTCACCTTACCTCACCTTACCTCACTTCTTACACAAGTTCTCTTTACAGTGTGTTTCATCTTCATTGTAAAAAAAACCCCACTTTTTATTGGTGAACATTGCATAGAACAAGACTGATGAACATAACATACGGTAGAACAAGACTAGTGAACATGATAAAACAGTGCTGTTTGTCTACCTTCGGGAGATACATGCCCTTGGTCCTGTGGGCGTTCAAAATAGCGATTTTTTGGGTGTGTCTGGCCGTCTGTACTCTCCTAGGTAAGGTTATTAATTATCTACCTGTGTTATAATTACCTGTATGATGATTATCTTCTTGATAATTAACTTAGATTACCTGTATGATGATTAGCTATGATAATTACTTGTATGAGATTATCTGTGGTAATTATCTGGTTGAGATTACCTTTTTGATAGTAAAGTGTGTAATAATTATCCCTTGATAATTATTACCTGTGACAATTATAAGAAGAGTGAAAATGACCTTTTTTTTTTACTTTTTTAACCTAACATAAATGAACTACAAGAAACTCATCTTAATTACTGGTTATTGTAATACTCAAAATGTTTACTCTTTAATATAACTACAAGCAAAAGTTCCCGGCTTAGCTTGGCTTAATTTGGTAAATACCGTATTACTTTGAGTGGCAGCTATAATTTATATTCCTTGACACGGGTTACCAATCGCCCCCTCGTCCCCCCGCCTCTCTCTCTCTGCTAAAACTAACAATACACTTTACTTATTACTGATATTTTAATAATTTTTATCCTTTTGTATTTTGGTTCATTTAAACTGGACATGTCAGTTACACAGATGTTTTATATTGTGTTATGAATTTATATATTTTCTGCCTTTGACTGTGTTTATCAATAACTCGATGGTAATTAGTGTGCAGTTTTAATACACACACACACACACACACACACACACACACACACACGAATATATAAACACACACCATTTCTATATATAATAACCTTAGCCTGATTTTTTTTGCTATTATTTATTGGGCACCCCCCCCCCTACATCCTTGTGCAAGGTGAAGCGCAGAAGCGTTTTTAGCGTCCAACAGATTTCAGTACACATATCATGTTGAGTCTCACCTTTGTCCTCTCGCAGCGTGCCTCACCACCTCCTCTTATACTGTGGAGGTCACAGGAGCCGCCACCAACCACACGCTGAACCTCTCCTCTAAGATGGATGCTCTACTGCCCATTGTTCACCATGATGTGTAGGTGTATGTAGTGTTTTGGAGTACATACATACATACATGCCGACAGACACCCACAGGCAGACATACATACACAGCCAGACACATATATACATACATACCGACAGACACCCACAGCCAGACATACATACACAGCCAGACTCATATATACAAAGTGACTCATTTAGTGTTTTATAAGTAAATAAATAAAAGAGCTACTCAAATGAATTCTATAAGGTACAATAATTAAATAAATAAGAACATAAGAAAATAAGGAGTCTGCAATAGGCTGGTTGGCCTGTGCCTGGCAGCTCCTGTCGAGAGTCACAACCACTGAATCATCCATGAATCTATCTAGCCTCCGTTTAAAACTTTCCAGAGTTCCCGCACTTACTACAAAGTTGCTAAGCTTGTTCCACTCGTCCACCACCCTATTTGTGAACCAGTTCCTTCCTATCTCCCTCCTAAACCTAAACTTATCCAACTTAAATCCGTTGCTACGAGTCCTATTCTGCTCGGATATTATAAGAACTTTATCTATATCACCTTTATTGATTCCTTTCACCCACTTGAATACTTCTATCATATCTCCCCGCACTCTTCGTCTTTCTCGGGAATGCAAGTTAAATTTCTTTAACATATCCTGATATGGAAGGTTTCTAAGTCCCGGAATCATTTTCGTCATTCTTCGCTGCACCGACTCAGTGTCGTATATATTTCCTTATTTTTATATGTAATTTAGTAAAATAATATCTATATATTTTCTTTGACACTTAATACGTATATGATTCTGATCCAAATATATGTAATTTTTACTATAATTAATCACATTTAAAAGCATATGAAAGGATATGTTATTCAGATGGAGATTTTGGACACTGATTGGGCATTGTGGGTCTGATATTTAATGAATGTTTCTCGTGTGTGTGTGTGTGTGTGTGTGTGTGACATGCGTAGGTGATATGAGTGGGTGCTATGATGAGTGACTGACATTAGTGGCTTTTTTCTCCGGTCTTGTCTGCTCTACAGGTGTATAATTCTACCCGTAGCTCCGACCATATCTACTTCAACACCTACGATGGATCTAATCTCTACGACAATAAAGGGTCTAATCGTGGCACTATCAAGAGACGTCCATATGGCACAGAACTGAAAATATTTGACCAGGTAAGTTCTGTATACAACTATCCTGGTACACTGGTCTACATGATAAGTTGTTGGTAGGTCTGTCTACAAGCTACATGATAGCTTCCACTCTGTTCCACACCAACACATCTCTTCTCTGTTCCACACCAACACATCTTTCTCTCTCTCTTCAGTGTTCCACATCAACACACGTGTCCACATTCCCTGCAAATCAATTGAAAATCCTCAGTCGTCAACAAGGTGCAAATACTAACTTTGTTATTCGTCCAACACCTCCAGCATAACACATACTGTAACCTAACCTTGCGTAACTTAACCTAACCTCGCCTAACTTAACCTAACCTCGCCTAACTTAACCTAACCTCGCCTAACTTAACCTAACCTCGCCTAACTTAACCTAACCTTTAATATGACACACCAACCTAGCTCCCAGCAGCAACACCCAGCATCTATTTCTTCATCTCCCAGCTCACAACACCCAGCACCTTCCCTCACGACATTTACAGAACCCTTCCCAGCACCCACCCAGTCTTTACGCCTCCTAGCAGCACCCGGCAGTGAGGGGATATCCGGCAGGAATCAGGGCCTTAATAAATTTACCATCCAACATGCTCACTCTGGCCATGTTTTTGGATCTGGCTCTTACCTGCTTTTACCTGCTAGATACTCTTACCTGTTCTTGTCTGCTAATCTTAACTGCTAAATATTCTTACCTTTGCGATATAAAGTATTTTTCATGTGTGACCCCGCTATAGAGAGGCTTTGTGTGTGTGTGTGTGTCTCGCTATAGAGAGAGTGTGTGTCTGTGTATGTCTGTCTGTCTGTCTGTCTGTCTGTTGGTCTGCCAGCAGTTGACCTTTTGTGAAATTGTGAAAATGATAATATCACTTTCCATGAATTTAGTCTTTGATAAGAAGAAAAAATATACTGTATCGTTAAATGTTGAAAATTATTGGTTGGTGTGTGACGTTAGTGGGTGAAGTTAGTGGGTGAAGTTAGAGAAGGAAGTTAATGGGTGAAGTTAATGGGTGAAGTTAGTGGGTGAAGTTAGTGGGTGAAGTTAATGGGTGAAGTTAATGGGTGAAGTTAATGGGTGAAGTTAGTGGGTGAAGTTAATGGGTGAAGTTAGTGGGTGAAATTAATGGGTGAAGTTAGTGGGTGAAGTTAGTGGGTGAAGTTAATGGGTGAAGTTAGTGGGTGAAGTTAGTGAGTGAAATTAATGGGTGAAGTTAGTGGGTGAAGTTAGTGGGTGAAGTTAATGGGTGAAGTTAGTGGGTGAAAAAAGGAGAGAATGACGGGAAGACTTAAATTTAATTATTACTATTGTAGTTATTATTATTATTAAAGGTAAGAGATGAGGCCATACTGTACCTGAAGCAGCGAGGGAACTGTACCTACCACCGCCATGACTGTAATGACATAAGGTACAATATTTCATAAGTATCTGTTTCATTATCATTCTGTGTACACTTGTTACCATTTTGAAACCCAGTAATACGTTTATTGGTATTTGTGTTGTCATTGTTTGTATACCTGTATTGTCTATGGAATGTATAGTTGCACTGATTATATACTGTATATGCTGAATCACTTTAACACTATGGCGAATTTACAGATTAAATAGCTATATACTGTACCTGTATCTACCTTTCATTTATCTCTGTGTGTATGTATGTATGTATGTATGTAACATCTGTTCATACTGTCACCAGGTATCGGGTAGTGCCAACAGTGGGTGTGGAGTTGGACGTCATATGCACCAACAGCTATCCCCCGTCAGGAACAGCTGAGAGAGTCACCCTCCTTCAACCTTTCCAGCCCTCCCGAGTCCTCTTTCATAGTCACATCGACACCACACAAGTCATTAACATCATAATGCCATTAATGGGACGACCAGAGGCCTTCCAGTTGTTCGTTGATAACCTCCGTGGTTTGCTGAAGAACGGAGGTGGTGGTCTACAACTTGGCTTAACAGTCTTTTACTACAATGACAGACATACACACAGTATCCGCCAAATTCTAAGCTCGACGCAAGATATTGTTGGTTTACAGACACAGTTTATTTTACACAAGAATCAGAATTTCTCACGGGCAAAGGCGCTGACGGAGGGTGTGAAGAAGAGCCACATTAAAGCAGAGGTGATGTTCCTTTGTGACGTAGACGTGTTATTTACCAAGAGCTTCTTACGCCGCTGTCTGGCTAATGCTGTGCAGGGCTCCCAGGTACAGTAATGTCTTTATTGATGTACAGTGCGGTATATAGTATAAGTTAAATACACTCTATTGTATAATGGTGGTTAATTTATATATATATATGAATTGAGTTTATATTAGTATTTATTTCTTTATCTTACATTGACATTTGTGGGTTTTTTTTATATACAATATCTTTGGTTTAATTGTATCTCACGTTTATACTTTGAATGTTTTTTGGGTGGTTTCCTGATTGACTTTACTGGTAGGAGATCGTCTTAACGCAGGTACATAGGTTTATCTCTTCACTAGGTTACATAAGTTGGCTCCACATATATAATTTTTATTAAGATTTTTACCCTAACTTAAACCTACTATACCTAACCTAATTTAATGCAGTCTAACCTAACCTAACCTGTGTGTGATAGTTAATATATTCAACAGTAACTGGTATGTGACAGTTAACAGTAGACAGTAACTTATGTGTGACAGTCAACAGTATGAGCTGAGACAGTTTATGAACAGAATCTAGTGAAGTGAGACAGAGTGGAAAACAAATATTTTTTTAAATTTCCGAGTAATTTCAGGTAAGGTGGCGAAGGAGGGGGTGGGGTGAGGGGGTGGGGTGGGGTGAGGGGTGGTGTGGTGGTGGGAGGCAATAAACCGATTACCTGCCCACATTAATGAAACTATAAAATTAACCCATCGTTTAACTACAGTACAGTCACTTGCTGCTGAAAATTATCTAGTGAACATTTGATATAGTTAACCGAGAGCAGTGACTTGCATATTCCTGTGTACAGTATATGTAATTACATATTTTTTTTTACATATATATATATATATATATATATATATATATATATATATATATATAAAATCACATCTTGTACACATACATATACTGTATTAATCACATACTTTTTTACACATACATTCATAAGTACATACATACATACATACATACATAAGTACATACATACATACATACATACATACATACAATAGGTATATGTAATCACGTGTATCTTTTTCCAATATTCTTACACACACACATATATAATCACTTGTGTATTTCTCCAATCCTATTACACACATAAGTAATTTTTTACTTTACCACGTTGGCCGGAGCGTGACGACCCTTGTCAGTCTTTATCTGTACACACTAAGAACATAAGAACATAAGAAAGTGGGATACTGCAGGAGGCCGACTGCCCATGCAGGGCAGATCCCTTTCACACCCATCCCAGCACTTCCATGTGCCTATCCAACTTCGTCTTGAAGCTCCCTAGCGTCCCCTGATCCTACTATAGCACTCTGGTAGCCTATTCCACATATCCACAACTCTATTACCAAACCAGTGCTTGCCTATATCCTTTCTGAATCGGAATTTATCTAATTTAAAGCCATTTGTTCTAGTTATTTCGTTATTACTGAGCTTCAGAACATCTTCCATTTTACCCTTGTTAATCCCACTTACCCACTTGTACACCTCTATCATATCTCCCCTAACTCTACGCCTCTCTAATGAATGTAAGCCTGCTTTTCAGTCTTTCTTCATATGGAAGGTTTCTAATATTATGGATCATTTTGTCATTCTTCTTGTACTCTCTCCAAAGAATCTATGTCCATTCTATAATAAGGACACCAGAACTGAACCGCATAATCCATGTGTGCCTCACTAATGCTAGGTAAAGTTTCAAGATAACGTCAGCAGTTCTGTTACTCACAGACCCAGATATGAACCCAAGAATCCTGTTTGCCTTGTTGCGAACGCTAATACATGTTTTCAGGTTTCAAGTCGTTACAACAAATACACCTAGATCTTTTTTCACAAACTGAGTTTTCTATTTCCGTGTTACCTAGTTTATACTTAACGTTTGTATTCGTCTTCCTATCTGTAGTACCTTGCATTTATCAGTATTAAATTCATTTGCCAGTTTACTGACCACTCATGTAAAAGTATCTAGATCTCTTTGAAGGTGTTCAAAGTCACTGTCTGAATTTATCACTTCCCCATTTTGGTATCATCTGCAAATTTACTAATCCTACTAGTTATGCCTAAATCAAGATCATTAATGAATATAACAAACAGCAGAGGGCCTAATACAGATCCCTGGGAACTCCGCTTGACACCCAGTCTGACTTTAATCCATTTATGCTGACTCTCTTGTTTCCTACCAGTTAACCATGACCTAATCCATTTTAATACTGATCCACCTATTCCATGTGCTTCTACCTTCCTTTATCAATCTCTCATGAGGGACTCTATCGAATACTTTACTGAAATCTAAATAAATTATATCATATGACTTATCATTATCTACCGCTTCATATACTTCTGAGAAAAAGCTAAGCAAATTTGTGAGACAAGAACGTCCCTGGGTGAACCGTGCTGAGAAGAATGAATTAAGTTGAATGTTTCAAGGTGGCTTCTGATTTTTGTAGCAATAATTGACTCTAGCAACTTGCCTATGATTGACGTGAGACTAATGGGACGGTAATTTGATGCTATTGATTTATCACCCTTTTTGAAAATCAGACTACATTTACACGGTTTCCAAGCTTCTGGCACTGGGCCGATTCTAATGACTTATTAAATAAAACTGCTAATGGATTACTCAACTCATCTCTACATTCTTTTAATATTCTAGCATATACTTCGTCTGGACCAGGCGATTTATGAAACTTCAGTTTGTTAATTACTTTAAGGCACATAGTTACTAGTAATATTGATATTCATCAACATATTTTCTATACTGTCGTTATATACCTTACTTGAACTACGGAAACTGTGCTGAGTTTTCATTTGCTGAATCTGTGAATGAAAATGACTATTTAACGTGCTACATTTCTAACTCATCATCAGTCATTTTCTCCTGTAAATGAGTTTTTAGGGACCCTATTGTATCTCTAACCTTTGATTTATACAGTTGATAAAAAAAGCTTTGGGGGTTATTACAAATTAGTTTACTACCTTGATTTCATAATTTTCTCTTTGCTTTCCTAATTTCTGTTTTACCTGTCTTGTTAGGTTCTGATAGTAACCAAGTAAGTGATTTTCGCCTTTCTTAACTTTTCTATATACTCCTTTCTTTTTCCCCAGAAGATCTAAGAGTCTATTATTCATCCATTTTGGTTGGTTCCGTATCGATCTGAATTTTCTTTTAGGGATGTGTTTATTTTGGGCATTATTGATTGTCGCAATAAATTGTTCATAAGTAGCTGCTAAATTAAATTCGGGGTTATCCCGTCCTAAGTTGACAGTTTCCGGAGGTGTGGGGGGGATTAATCTTCTGACCATAGGGTCATCCCTTAGGTCTCTCCTTATGCTACCGTAATTAGCATTCCTCCTAAACCAGATCATACGAATTTCTTCCTGCCATCCCATATTATGTTAAAATATATGGCTTTATGATCACTGTTTTAGTTCGTCTCCAATCCCAACATCTTTTACTAGGATTTTCATTATTACTGATTAGTTAACATTTGTAGGATCTCAGGTGTGGAAATACTGTACTGTATGTTTCATTATGTACTGCTGTAGTTCTTACTATTATTGTTATTTTGATTATTGTTGTTGCTATTATTATTATTATTATTATTATTGTTATTGTTATTATTATTATTGTTATTATTATTGTTATTATTATTATTATTATTGTTATTGTTATTATTATTATTGTTATTATTATTATTATTATTATTATTATTATTATTATTATTATCATCATTACAGGTGTACTTCCCTACGTACTTCTCCCAGTACAACCCTCAGCTGATTTATCCTTTACAAGGCCAAAAAGTTCCGTCACCGCTGGACACCTTGACTGTTCGTGACGATCATGGTTACTGGAGAGTCTGGGGACATGGTGAGTGTCTCTCTCTTGAATTTCTATCATCATATATCTCTCCCTCTACTTTACCTCCCTCCACCCTCCCTACCATCACCCTCTCTACCTACCGTGACCCACCATAACCTAACCCCTGGCCTTGTCTCCGGCAGGTATGGTCTGCATCTACAAGTCCGACTTCTTCAGGATCAATGGGTTTGACGAAAGCAGGACAGGCTGGGGAGGGGAGGACCTTATTTTCTTGAAGAAGACGGCGAGTAAGAAGTACAAGATTATTAGGTAACATATAGTGTTACTTTACTTTTGCTTTATGGAGTTGATTTCTCATTAATATTAACTACCCTAACACTTCCTAACCCAAACCTAACCTAACCTAATTTAAACTAAACTAATCCTAACCTAAAGCAATCTAAGCTAAACTAACTTAACCTAATTTAATTTAACTTAACCTAACGTACACTAACCCATCCTAACACACACACAGAGCGTTACAGGGATCCACAGATATCATGCATCTGGGAATAACTATAAACAAGTGATCGTAAAGGCTGTGTTTTGCAGGTCACTGGACTACGGCCTGATTCACCACTACCATCCCAAGAACTGTGAAGATGCTGGTCGTGGTCAGAAGTCTTCTTGTATGAGGGTATGTTACCGTACTGGCTTGTTAACCTAACCGAACATTAACCTAACCTAGCTTAACTTAAACTAACCTAACCTATCAGCCTATCCTAACCTATCGTAACGTGAGGATGGTTGGTCATAGGTGACATAAGCTGGGGGGGTTGGTGTTGTTATAGGTAAAGGCGAAGAGTGAAGCCTCAATATATAATGTGTTGTGTTGTTATAGGTAAAGGCGAGGAGTGAAGCCTCAATATATAATGTGTTGTGTTGTTATAGGTAAAGGCGAGGAGTGAAGCCTCAATATATAATGTGTTGTGTTGTTATAGGTAAAGGCGAGGAGTGAAGCCTCAATATATAATGTGTTGTGTTGTTATAGGTAAAGGCGAGGAGTGAAGCCTCAATATATAATGTGTTGTGTTGTTATAGGTAAAGGCGAGGAGTGAAGCCTCAATATATAATGTGTTGTGTTGTTATAGGTAAAGGCGAGGAGTGAAGCCTCAATATATAATGTGTTGTGTTGTTATAGGTAAAGGCGAGGAGTGAAGCCTCAATATATAATGTGTTGTGTTGTTATAGGTAAAGGCGAGGAGTGAAGCCTCAATATATAATGTGTTGTGTTGTTATAGGTAAAGGCGAGGAGTGAAGCCTCCAGTCAGGTGTATGGTCTCTGGTTCCTGAGGCACAGGTTGAACGTGTCAGTTTACGGAGTGATGAGTGATATCCTCGAGCCTTCAGACAACGTGACACTTCAAGTTGTACTCGTGATGATGGTCATCCTCAACCTGTCGCTGTGTGTCTGTCTCTGGAGGAAATTGAGTCCTTTTAACGCAGGTGTGTTACCTAACCCGACATTTAATTAGACGTAGTGTGTTATGTTAACAGTTAATTAGATGTAGTGTGTTATGTTAACAGTTAATTAGACGTAGTGTGTTATGTAAACAGTTAATTAGATGTAGTGTGTTATGTTAACAGTTAATTAGACGTAGTGTGTTATGTTAACAGTTAATTAGACGTAGTGTGTTATGTTAACAGTTAATTAGACGTAGTGTGTTATGTTAACAGTTAATTAGACGTAGTGTGTTATGTAAACAGTTAATTAGATGTAGTGTGTTATGTTAACAGTTAATTAGACGTTGTGTGTTATGTTAACAGTTAATTAGACGTAGTGTGTTATGTTAACAGTTAATTAGACGTAGTGTGTTATGTAAACAGTTAATTAGATGTAGTGTGTTATGTTAACAGTTAATTAGACATAGTGTGTAATGTTATCAGTTAATTAGACGAAGTGTGTTATGTAAACAATTAATTAGATGTAGTGTGTTATGTTAACAGTTAACTAGAAGTAGTGTGTTATGTAAACAGTTAATTAGACGTAGTATGTGTTATGTTAACAGTTAACTTAGAAGTAGTGTGTTATGTAAACAGTTAATTAGACGTAGTATGTTATACAAACAGTTAATTAGACATAGTGTGTTATGTTAACAGTTAACTAGTAGTGTGTTATGTAAACAGTTAATTAGACGTAGTATGTTATACAAACAGTTAATTAGACGTAGTGTGTTATGTAAACAGTTAATTAGACGTAGTGTGTTATGTTAACAGTTAATTAGACATAGTGTGTTATGTTAACAGTTAATTAGACATAGTGTGTTATGTTAACAGTTAATTAGACATAGTGTGTTATGTTAACAGTTAATTAGACGTAGTGTGTTATGTTAACAGTTAATTAGACGTAGTGTGTTATGTTAACAGTTAATTAGACATAGTGTGTTATGTTAACAGTTAATTAGACATAGTGTGTTATGTTATATAAATGTAATACTGTATGTCATGTCAAATATATTAATATAAACACAAAACAAAAAAAATTTACACAAACACCTTAGAAAATGTTTTACTCCCAGTTCCATGTGACCTTGAACTCTGAGAATAAACTCCTCCTCCAAGGTCCTCCTCCAACAACTGCTTTGATGAGATAAAGACGAGTGTAATGTTTCAAGGAGAACGCTCATGGTAGGAAGGATATTGATTTAGGTGGAAGTTAAGGTATTAAATGGGTCTAATACTTTTGTTTTTCTTGTCGCTAAATTTATATTTGAGATTCGATTTGTTTGGGTGGAAAGAGAGAGAGAGAGACGAGAAGAGAAGAGACAGTAAAATAGAAAGACAGGAATAGAGAGAGAGACAGAGACGGAAAGGAAGGTAGTTCTCGAAGCCTTTAATTTCCTATTCCGTAATGACCCGGATTGGTATTCTGAAAATCTCATTATTTCATTCACTTGTCCTCGTTCTCAGACCTCGACCTCACCTTCAGAGCAACATACCTCGTCCTCGACCGTGTTCACATACCAACATACCTCGTCGTTAAGTACAGGTTATTGTTTAGGTAGAGGTCGTCCTTAGATTTACTATACAACCTAACCTAACCTAACCTAACCTAACCTAACCTAACCTAACCTAACCTAACCTAACCTAACCTAACCTAACCTAACCAAACCTAACCTAACCTAACCTAACCTAACCTAACCAAACCTAACCTAACCTAACCTAACCTAACCTAACCCATTACGCTCTCCCGCTTGGTATTATGTACACAAGACAAGTAATTGTTATCAAGATGTGGAAATATTTGGTTTTTTAAGTGGTCCCCTTCTGGTGCTGGGTGTTGTGTCGGTTTGGCGGGGTGACGGGAGTGTGTGTGTGTGTCGGTTTGGCGGGGTTTGAGTGTTAGGACATAAACGTACACATACACACACGCACTCACACTCACCCATCTACCAAGCCACACACTCTTACCACACTCCATTATAAATGCTTTTAACTGGTTTCATTTAAGTAAGTGTGTGGGAGTGATCACCTCTCACACACTTACCTCTCACACACTCACCTCTCACACACTCAACCCTCACACACTCAACCCTCACACACTCACCCCTCACACACTCACCTCTCACACACTCACCCCTCACACACTCACCTCTCACACACTCAACCCTCACACACTCACCTCTCACACACTCACCTCTCACACACTCACCTCTCACACACTCACCTCTCACACACTCACCCCTCACACACTCACCTCTCACACACTCACCTCTCACACACTCACCTCTCACACACTCACCCCTCACACTCCATTACTGCCGCTCTTAACAAGGACCGTTGAGTGAGAGTGAAGGAGGGACCGTCGTGGGACGTGGTAGAGCTGGTTACCTGCCCTCCCCTTTAACCTGTAGTATGTCACCCCACTTTTAGTTTACCTGTCTTGACTATTAGCCCAGGTAAGTGTTGCTTAATTTGAGATGCTTGCCACCACCCCTCAAGTGGCAGTAGGTGGTGAAGTTACCCTACTTGATGTGGGTGAGTATTTCAGTTGATGTGGGTGCCTGGTGTGGGGGTAGAGTATCGTAGTTGACTTGGTTGATGTGGGTGTGGTGGTGGAGTTGGGTGTGTGGGGGTGGAGTTTCGTGGTTGGTGTGGGTGTGTGGTGGAGTTGGGTGTGTGGGGGTGGAGTTTCGTGGTTGGTGTGGGTGTGTGGTGGACGAAAATCTCAATAATTGCTGTGGTTGCTATCTCTAAAAAATCTCTTGTTTCCAGGTCCGACAGACAGACAGTTACCTGACTGTATCTGGTAATTGGTGTAAAAATTGGGGGATTAATTAGTGGACAACTGTTGTTCAGGTAAAAAATTGGGTCTTGTTATGGAGGAAATGGTTTATAACGACAATACTGTACAATGCTACTGCGACCATTTTCCGTTGCTAATTGGTCTTTACCTTAAAAAAAATATTTATACCATATCATAAAACCTAACCTAACCTAGCCTAGCCTAACCTAACCTATACCACACTACACCTCACTACACTAACCTAACCCATATATACTACACTAACCTAACCTACACTACACTAACCTAACCCATATATACTACAATCATATAAACTATAAACTTCCTGAATGAAAAACCGGACAAAATCAGTTAAAACATTTTCCACCTGACGCCCTCAGTATAATGTTCAATTTTAAACAAGATAAAAAATATACCCCCCAAAAAACATGTTATTTAAAACCCACAACAGATTGAAAAAGTTATAAAAATACTCTAGTTACTTATATGTTACTTTAATAAGTTGTAAAGTAACGAGATAAGTTTATTTGTTTCTCTTCTGTTGTTTTTGTTAAGTTAGGTTAGGTTAAGTTATGGTAGGTTAGGTTAGGTTAGGTTAAGTTAAGTTAAGTTATGGTAGGTTAGGTTAGGTTAGGTTTTGGTAGGTTAAGTTAAGTTATGGTAGGTTAGGTTAGGTTAAGTTATGGTAGGTTAGGTTAAGTTATGGTAGGTTAGGTTAGGTTAGGTTAGGTTAGGTTAAGTTATGGTAGGTTAGGTTAGGTTAGGTAGGTTAGGTTAGGTTAGGTTACGGATTAAGGAAATTTGTCAAAAAAAAGCAAAACCCGTATTGTACGACAAAAAAAAAATACGATTAAAAAGGAAAGGAAAAAACGGAATAAAAAACGAGAGGAAAAAACCCGAAGATTTAACTCCAGAAAATGATTAAAATTTTCAGAGATTTATTAAATTCATAAAAAAAATTACAAAATAAAGAATTAAAATAAAAATTCTTGACGAGTTAATGAATATAATATATAGTTTTCATGTGGGTTTGAGTGAGAGAAAGAGAGACTGGAGAAGAGAGAGAAACAGATAAAAGAGAGGAAGAAAGAGAGATTAAGTTTTACAATGCGATAATTAGAGAAAGTAATTAGGTAAAAAGTTACAATTCACAGAAAACTAAATTAAGCCGAACACAATTTTTAAAACTCTTTACATTGATGCTATAGGATTGTGGATGGTTGAGTGGATTTAAATCTCGCCCCTCGTCCTTACGGTCTTTGGTTCGATCCCACGGTCTCAACCCCCAGTCCATCAAGGTGCAGCCCCCCAGTCCATCTAGTTGCGGCCCACCCTGTCCACCCAGGTACAAATAGGTCCCTGACTTTACAGTTGAGGAAGTGAAGGTGATCGAGTACAGTGTCTCCTTGTGTGCTGAAAACATAGTATACTCTCTGTGTGTGTCTGTGATTTACACTTTTAATTCAGTCAACTTAACCTTATAATTATACCTTGCTAATATTTTCTTTATCTTTTTATAAATTACAAATAAAGTTAATATTCCTTTAATTAAATTTTTCCTCCAAAAGTTTATTCATTATGAAATTATTGACAATATTGTTAGTATCTCAAAGGGTGTTCTCCCCCCCCCACCTCTCCCTTCCCCTCCCTCCTCCCTCCCTTTCCCCCACCCCCTCCCTCTCCCTTTCTCCCTCCCTTTCTCCCTCTCTCCCTCCCCTCCCTCCCTTCCTCTCCCCCACCCTTCCAACCTCTCCCCCGTGTGAACTATTGAAAGCTCTCCCCTACCATTATCTCTCTCACACAGTCGAGTTCTGGCACACACACACACACGTCAATACTTTCAAACTTTCCCCACAGTTACTCTTCATCTTCCTACTCCTCTCCTCACTCCCCCCCACACAGGCGAGAGACAAACATGTTTTTTTCACCTTATTCTGTGAACTGTATTCATATTCGTCTCTGCTTGTGTCCGTGTCTGTCTTTTCCGTTTGTATCTCTGTCCGTTTGTCTCTGCCTTTCTCTTTGTCTTTCTTTTTTCTGTTTATGTCTCTGGAGAACGAATAGGTCTGTCTGGCTGTCTGTTTATCTGTGTCTGTCTGTCTCTTAAAAACGAAAGGAAATAAGACTTAAGTTATCAAAGGTTCTGTTGAGATTTTCTGTAATGTTTAACTTTTACTGGTGACCGCTGATTCCTTATACGTATACATAGACTGCGTGTACAGTATACAGATAATATACATAGACTGTGTGTATACAGATAATATACATAGAGGAAAAAATTAATTGTATTGTGGACAGCTGAGTAAGACTAGTTTAGCGTCTTGTGTTGAAGAACTTTTGTTTATGAGAGAGAGATAAAGAGAGTCTTTGGTATAGTAATACTCTAGATGATACGTATAATACTGTAACTCCCTTGATAGTTGTTGAGGAATGGGAAATGTTTTGTTGTGTGTGCTCATACGGATTTGGAGGCGAAGCAACTACTTTCTGTAACTGAACACAGCCACGACCCAGAGCCTATCAAGGTGAAGGAGGCTAAAGTGAAGAACATCAGAAAGACAGCTGCTTTGACCAACAGCTTTTGTCCTATTTTTTTACTCTAAATAAGAGGGTTTTGTCCCACTTTGTACTTTACTTGAGGGGGTTTTGTCCAAGGGTGTTTGTTCGGATCCCGATTGTGAGCTAGTGGCTGTTGTGGTTTGTATTTAAGTGGGTGAAAGGAATCAATAAAGGGGATATAGATAAAGTTCTTATAATATCCGAGCAGGATAGGACTCGGAGCAACGGATTCAAGTTGGATAAGTTTAGGTTTAGGAGGGAGATAGGAAGGAACTGGTTCACAAATAGGGTGGTGGACGAGTGGAACAAGCTTAGCAACTTTGTAGTAAGTGCGGGAACTCTGGAAAGTTTCAAAAGGAGGCTAGATAGATTCATGGATGATAGAGAGTGGTAGTAACTCTCGACAGGAGCTGCCATGCACAGACCAACCGGCCTATTGCAGACTCCTTATGTTCTTATGTTCTTATGATTGCGAGGTTGTGGTTGTTATGATAGGTGGTGGTGGTGGTTTGTTGTGGTTGTTATTGTAAGTGGTGGTGGTTTGTTGTGGTTGTTATGGTAAGTGGTGGTGGTTGTAGTACAGTATATCATAGGTATATTTTCTAAAGTGTTTTGG